CCTGATCACCTCTTTGAAGTCCCTATCTCCAATATAGTCACATTCTAACTTACTAGGGGTTAGGGCTTCAACATATGAATTCAAGAGACTCAATACAGTCCTTAACAGAGATCATATTAGCTATATTCAGATTCTGATGCTCTAAAAAAAGACCCAGAATTATTAATAGAGTCTGAAGCAAGATGATGGTTAATTTCTTTCTCAAATAACAGTCTGGCATAAACAGTTTAGGGATGATATGGTGGCATCACGGTGCTGGGATCCAGGCTTCTAGTTGTTCTATGATTGCTAGGGTGTGAGCCATGGGTCTGGGATGGTGCCCATCACATCTGCATTCTAACCAACATAACAGAGAAAGGGGAGAAGGAATAAAAATGGCTTCCTCTGAGAGCCCAACATAGAGGTTGCTCATGTGCCAATGACTAGAAGCTAGTTACTCAGCCATACTTAGTTGCAAGAGAAGCTAGAAGTGTTGTCTTTATCCCAGGCAACCATATGCCTAGCTAAAATGTTGGGGGTTGTGACTAAAGGAAGAAGGGAAAAGGAGATGTTGGGAGGGAGGCATCCAGAGTTTCCTACCACAGGTGGATATTTGAGGATGCTCTTGGGGTCTCACCGTTCCTCTAAATCCCAAATGGTTTAGTCAAGTGTTTCTTCCAACCCAATGCTTTTGGCTTCTGGATCAGCTAGATAAGCTACACAGTCAGCCACACCAAGTGGCCTCTTAACTCCACTGTGGGTGCATAGCGGATGGAGGAAAGGAGTCCATTCCCTAGGAACAGTGATATGGGCTAGGAGAGCTGGGGCTTTGGAGGAAGTCTTGAGGTGGTCAGGGACACTTTGCTATCCATTTATTCAACAAAACATCAGCACCTACCCTGTGCTGGGCAGTACTGGGTACACAACAGTGACTAAGACAGCACTGGCCTTGCCCTCACCTCCTTGCACTCACAGTCTAACGAGGGGGGACAGACCCATCCCCAGATAGTGATGACATAAAATGAGCAGCAATAGGGGGGTTGGGGAACCCAAAGAGTAGCTGCCCTCCCTCCCTCCCAGGGTCTGGGAGTACTTACTGGAGGGGAGAGACATTCAGCAGTGCACAATACCAAGCTGGTTTCTTCCACTGGATTCCCAGTCTATCAAGGAAAACAGATGAATAATTCCATAGGATTAGAGAAAAGCTTCTCTGTAGACTTGACGTTTAACATGATAACATGAAGCAAGGTAGAAGTTAGCCGATAAAGATGGTATGGAAGAGGGTTCCAGGCAGTGGGAACAGCATGGGCAAGGACTGGAAGAGTAAGAGACATCCTGCTAAGTTTGACATTGAGAGCTGCAGCCTGAACTCAAGGGATCCTCCCACCTCAGCCTCCTGAGTAGATGGGACTATGGGTGCTGCCCTGCACCTTATGTAATCTTTAAAATGGGTTATTTTCTTAAAAAACAGGAAATTCACTGCAACCGATCAGAAGGGGGCACCTGAGCTACTGTAAGTCCCCTCTGTGTCACCAATATAAAGAATTAACTTTAATTCTAGAAAATGTCCACCTAGATCTTTCTAATGATTTTTGTTGATTGTGAGCCTACTTACACATCTTGGTGGTGGCTGTCTTCAGTAAGAACAGTAGGTCTTCTCTCCCTGGTTTGAGGAGGATGACCTGCCTCAAGTTCAATCCTTACCTTAGGCAAATAAAGCCTAAGCTCATTGCTCTTCTAAAGGCCTGCCCCACACCTTGGCCTGTGCCATTCTTAGCCCAAGTGACTTTCCAAAGAGAGAAGTAGCAGGAGCCTTTGTTAGTGCAGGCTCTGGAGCCAGAACTCCCTTTATTGCATCCTTATGCCACACGTGAGTCCTTGCAAAAGTGACTTTCCTTCTTGGTGCCTCAATTTCCTCATCTGTGCAATGGGATCATAGAAGAACCTACCTCATAGGATTATTGAGAGGATAAGTGAGTCAATTGTGTCAAATGCCTACAACAGTGCCTGGTGCAGAGCATGTAAGTGTTAGCTCTGTTAGTTTCCAGGGGCTTGATCTCTTTGAGCCTTTATTTTCTCATCAAAATAGGGATAATAATAATGCTAATCACCTCAAAGAATTGTTGTGAGGGTTAAATCAGTAAATTTAATGGTTTTCATAAAGAACATACCTCACATTGTATATGGAATAATAACAATTATACTAATAACAGTTACTGCCAGTAATAATGGGCATGAAGTTATAACTGTTATTGCTAGTAGCATAGTTATTACTATGAGTAATGCAGTCTGATGTTTTCCGCAATATTTCCTGTCATGGTTTAAATGCTGATCCCTACCTACTAAATGATTTCACCACTCACGCATGGGTCTCACTTGCAGTATAACAAGCCACAAGGTAATACGTGTGCTTAGAATGGTGCTTGGCTCATAGCAAGAGCCCAGTCCAGGTGGCTATTACACGGGTTTTTGTTTCTGCATCTGGTGGCTCTTTCTCCCCCTTCAAGGCTTTGCTTAGGAACCTCCTCCTCCAGGGAGCCTTCAGGGACCTCTCTAGTTGTACTAAAGATCTTTTCACTTATTACATTGCACTGAAATCAAAACCAGCTCTGAGTGGAGGTTCCCAGGACACACTACAATGTCAGACTGCCTGAATCAAATCCCAGGTGTGTCCCACTCTGAGCAGGAGGCCTGACCTTAATGACTTCCAGACCTCAGAGCCTTTCACTTGAAAAATGTGGAATGAGAATTGTGGACCACTTGGGTCACCTCCTTACTGGGCTCCCAGTGTCCACTACTTCATCCTTAAACCCAGTTTCTCACGTGCTAGCCAGAGCAATCCTGTTCAAACCGAAGCCAGCTCATATCCTTCCTCTGCTCACAGCCTCCCGTGGCTCCCCACTCACTCAGAGTCAAAGGCAGAGCCCTCCCCCTGGCCCAGGAGGGCCTGTGTCATCTGCATCATTGCCTGTGTACCCCCCCACCCCGTTTGCCCCCCTCCCTGTGCACACCTAGACTCATACCCACCTCAGGCTCTTCACACTTGCTGTTCTCTCTGCCTAGAAAGCTTTTTCCCCAGGAATCCACATGGCTCCTTCCTCACCTCTTCATGTCTCTGCCCTGATGTCACCTCTTGAAAGAGGCCTCCCTTGACCCATCTTACCAAACATGGGTTTCCCCCACCTCTGGTCCAAGCCCGTAGCCCTCTGCAGTTTTCCTCAAGCTCTCACCACCACTGCCGTATATTCTTTCATCTGTTTGGTGGCTGTCTCCCCACTCAGTTGTCTGCATCTGTTTAAAGCCAAGACCCAGTATCCCAGACTTGGTTCACGTAGAAGCAGATCCAGAAGTGAGAACTCACAGGCAGGTTATTTGGAAGGTGCGGAGACCTGGGGAGTGGGGAAGTGAGGCAGAGAAGGCAAGCTGTGTTCTCTAGCCATTTGTCACTGTGGGCAGCTGGATCACAGTCTCACAGGGAACTCAGGGCCCTGGTGTGGAATAGCTCCTCAGAGCTAGCCCACCCGAGAGCGAGGGAGCTGGGCTATTATAACGCCAGCCTCTCCTCCTGTTGTGCTCTTTCCCCACACTTCTGCCCTGCTGCCTCTGGGGCAGAGCCAACTCTGAGGGCCATTGAGAGCCCCCAGGCACAGGGAATGGGACACAGGTGCTGGCAGTTGGGAGTGGTGAGGGGGTGAGGTCAGAGTGGGCCAGCAACAATTCTGTTGCGTACACCACCTGGAGCAGCACTGGGCCCAGACCAGGCTCTCCAAACACATTCCTCAGTGAATTAAAAGACAAACGAATGGATGAGTGAATGCCTCTGTGGTGGGCAGGAGAAATGCCCAGCCTCTCTGCGTGGCCTCTGCCCACCTGGCCTCGCTTTCTGTCATTGCAGACAGCTTCAAGACAGTGCCGCTGCTGACATTCCCAGAAACTATTCAGGGTATCATCCAGAGTGACCTCAACTACTCAGTGATCCTAGAGTGGGTGACAACAATGAACCCCGAGCCTGTGCAGACCTGGACCCTCAATGGAAAGATTTGCGGGACAGGAGAGAAGCTGTTCATCCGGCGGTTGTCCTGGGAGCAGCTGGGCACCTACGTGTGCACCGCTACAAACAGCAAGGAGCAGCTGTCCTCCCAGCCCGTGACTGTCTCACTGCCACGTGAGTCCCCCACCCACCCAAGGCCCGTGCACCCTCACTGGCCTGAGGCAGCCTTCCCGATTCTGTGAAGCCACCTTCTACAAGCAGTCCCCTCAGACCCTTGATAGCCAAAATGTCATTCCATCCTTCCATCCACCTGGCAGGTTGTGGATTATTAGCCCATTTTCAGATGACAAGCTGCCACCAAAGAGGTTAACTGTACTAAAAGCCACTCAGGATCTGAACCAGGTGGCCTGGGTCCCAGGGTGAACATGGGAAGTCCTTTTGCCATTCTGAGCCTCAGTACATGCCATGCCAAAAATGCAGATCATGACATAAGGAGGGGCTCAGAGCACAGGCTTGGGAATTTCAATTCCAGCTCCACCACTTCCTGGCTGTGTGACTTTGGACCAGTGCCTTGACTTCTCTGTGCCTTAATGTCTTCATCCGTAACATTGGAAAAATAATAGTGCCCACCTCCCCGTGTAGTTAGGAGCACTCAATGAGCCAGGCAGGTGAACAGCTTCAAATAATAAGGCCTAGCACTATTGAGCTCTGGCATGTGCTCAGTGAATGTGAGTTAGTACCATTGTTACAATTAAGGGTCTTGTTAGTATCATTAATTTTGTAGCTATTAGCGTGGGCAGTAGTACAAGTGGGGCCCAGGCAGCCGTGCAAGAACAATAGGCTGTTGGGATCAGAGAGGTGGTTTGGGAGCTGATTGAAACTGGGTTCAGTTCCTCTTGTGCCTTCCTGGCTGGGCAACTTGGGGCAGGTGATTTCCTCTCTCTAAGCCTCAGTTTCCTCCTGTGTATGATGGAAGTGATCCTAATTACCTCTGAAGAGTTGTTAGGAACAGAAGCAATAGGGGAGTGAGGCTAATAGAACACCTGTCAGAGAGCAGCCGCATTGAAGAGCAGCCATTATCATGAATATTGTTTTTTTTGTTTGTGTGGTTTTTTTTTTTTTTGAGACAGAGTCTCACTTTATCTCCCTTGGTAGAGTGCTGTGGCATCACAGCTCACAGCAACCTCCAACTCCTGGGCTTAGGCGATTCTCCTGCCTCAGCCTCCCAAGTAGCTGGGACTACAGGCGCCCGCCACAACACCCAGCTATTTTTTTTGTTGTTGCAGTTTGGCCAGGGCCAGATTTGAAACCACCACCCTTGGTATATGGGGCCGGCACCCTACTCACTGAGCCACAGTTATGGCCCATGAACATTGTTTTTAGCATTTTATTCATGGGGGACAGATGGCTTGGAGTGACCTAGAAGAATCTACAGGAGCTGGCCAGTGTGTGTGTGGGGCATTTAGGGGAGCAAGGAACAAGTAAACCAAGGCAGGAACTGGATAGGCATGGCAGGGGCGGGGCGAGGGAAAGCTCAGCCAGGCCAGGTTCGAGAGAACTGCCTTATTTCCCTGGCCAGGGTCCAGGGGGAGGGAGCTCCAAGTGGAGTTCAGAGGGGCTGGGCTGTAACGGCAGGGGAGTGGGAGAGGCGAGGCTGGCCAGGTGGCAGGATCTTGAAGGCTAAAGTGAGGGATCAGCTTCTGCCTCAGGATGCTGGGAGCCATAGCAGGATTCTCAGCAGGGTCAAGTGTGAGCTTTTGAGAGCTCCTTCTGGCTTCCATGTGGTGGTAGATGGGTATGGGCTGGACTGGGGCGGGATGGCATGGAGGAGAGCTGGGGGTGGAGAGGAGGGGATGGGCTGAAGGGACACTCAGTAGGTGGAATGGTGGAAGGGGGGGCGGGGGAGTGTGCAGAGGGAGGGAAGGAGAGGGATTTGTGCCAATCTTACCCCTATTTGGTCTCCAGAAGCCACCGTGGATCCCACAGAGGCTGAGCCCATCGAGCCAGACCCCAGTCTCTCCCTGTCAGGAGGGTCTGCCATTGGCCTCCTCGTGGCTGGAATTCTAGGAGCCATGGCCTTGATTGGGGGTGTAGGCTTCACCATCATCCACAGCCAAAAGGTACCTCCTGCTCTCCCCTCACCTCTGTCCACAGGTGATGCCCACTGAGCCCACACAAGGCACAAAGCTGTCTCTACGTGGAGACAGAGAGCAAACCAGCAGCCCCATCAGAGAGGGCCTCCCCTCCGTGTCATCTCTAATCCTCCAGCAGGGTAACCCAAGCTTGCTCATGTGGCAGAGGCAGGATCTCCAAGCCGGAGCAGAAGCTGCAAGGCCCCTTAAGGCCCAAGCTCAGGATTGCACCATCACTTCCTCCACATTCCATTGGCCAAAGCAAGTCACATGGCCCAGCTAGATTCAAGGAGTGGGGAAACTGATGACTCCACTTCTTGCTGAGAGGAAAATAATCTGTGCCCAGTTTTGTAATTCACAACCCAAGGCAGGAGTGGATGTCTGTCTCTCTCAGCCTCCCACCCTCCCATCCATGGAATCCTCTTCTCCCTGAACATAGATTCACAGTTTCTTTTCTCTCTCTCTCTTTCTCTCTCTCCAGATAAGAATGTGATGCTTTTCTGTCTACCTGGAGAAAGACATCATCCCAGAGCTACCAAGTCCACGGCACCTTTGTTCAAGGAACAGACCAAATAGACTTGCTTTGTCCTGTCTCCAAAATGCCTGAAGAAACCCTCTCTGAAGAAAGCCTCTGATGGCCCCACTTGGTCCCATCACTGTGGCCAGGAGGGGGGCAGGAACACATGGTGCAAGCAGAGTTCCTGAGGCTCAGCCCTGTATGTCGGGGCTCAGTACTCAGAAAACAGGGGGAAGCCTTGCCTTTTAAGCTGGGCAGATCCCAAATACGTCTTCTACACATGCAACTTATTTTTGCTCTTTTTTACAAAGAAAACACTTCTTTTATTTAAAAATGGATGCTCTTTATTCATTACATCATTTATCAACTTATTATTTTTTTTTTTTGGTTTGTTTGTTTGAGATACAGTCTCACTTTGTCACCCTGGCTAGATTACCATAGCATCATAGCTTGGCTCACAGCAACCTCAAACTCTTGGGCTCAAGCAGTTCTCTTGCCTCAACCTCCCCAGTAGCTGGGACTACAGGCACTCACCATAATACCTGGCTAGTTTTTCTTTTCTTTTCTTTTATTGAGACAGAGCCTTAAGCTGTCACCCTGGGTAGAGTGCTATGGCATCACAGCTCACAGCAACCTCCAACTCTGGGCTTAAACAATTCTCTAGCCTCAGCCTCCCAAGTAGCTGGGACCATAAGCGCCTGCCACAACACTCGGCTATTTTCTGGCTGTTGTTATCATTGTTGTTTGGCAGGCCTGGGCTGGATTCGAACCTGCCAGCTCTGGTGTATATGGCTGGGGCCCCAGCCACTTGAGCTATAGGCTAGTGGTTAGTTTTTCTATTTTTAGTAGAGACAGGGTCTTGCTTTTGCACAGGCTGATCTTGAACGCCTATGCTCAGATGATCCACTTGCCTCTGCCTCCCAGAGTGCTAGGATTACAGGTGTGAGGCACCAGGCCTGGCCAACACTTCTGAATGTTTTCTCATGAATGCTCTCTTCATGAGACATTGGGGAGGTGGTCCCCAGAAATCTATGGCACATTTGTAAATAAGATCAACTATTTAGTTTTAAGCTTCTCCAGTGTAATACCCCATTCACTGGAGGATTCTAAAAGATGGTAGCCCACGGGACACAAGTATGGATGAAGCTCTTCTGTGGGTATATCTCCCATTTGAGAAATGTTCAGTGCCACCTAACATGGCATTGTGATCAGCAATGATGGTAGACTTGAGTTCAAATCTTATTTATTGAGGCTTCTCCACATGTCAGCCACTGGCTATATATATGCCTTATGTGGTTCATGTGTCATATCCTCAGTGCATGCAGTAGGATAAAGAAGAATGCACACCCATTCTACAGACAAAGCAAGTGAGGCTCAGGAGCAGTTACGTGACTTGCCCAGGGTCACACAGATAGAACATAGTGGAGCTGGTGTTCAACCAGGCTGTTTGGCTCTGAAATCTCCTTCCCAATCATCCCACTGCCCTGTTTTGCTCCTTCCCTGAGGCCAGATCCGCCTTCCCCCTTCTCTGTTAGGTAGATGTCACTGTGCTCAAGTGCATAGGATAAAAGTGAGGCTAAGAGAAGGGAAGTGACTTCCCTAAGATCACACAGCCACATGTGATGCCAACTCAAGTCTGCCCAATTCCAAAGCCCCTGGCTCTGACCAGCATTGTTCAACAGAAGTTTCTGCAGTGAAGGCAGGAAATGTTCCATATCTCCACTGTCCAGTGCAGTACTGCCTAAGACATACGCTGTTGATCTCTTAGAATGTGAATAGTGAAACTAAGCAACTGAATTTTTTATTTACTTTTAAATTAATTTTAATTTATATAGCTACCTATGGCTAGTGGATATTGTGTTAAACAGCACAGCTCTAAATCCTAATTGTTAAAATAAATATCCCAGCACCCAAGTGTGTAGAATGATTCTTGATTCTGGGACCATCCTGGGGGCCTTGCCCTGGTTTCTTGAAGGGTCCCCACTTTTTCAGAAATCCCAGATACCTCTCCATTTTCTTTCCCAGCTCGAGGGACTCCTCCCATGTCCCTCCTCTGGCAAGGAAGAGGTTAATCATTTCCTGCCTGAGTGGTGACAGAGAAGTAGCTAGCTGGTTTCTGTAGCTTTTAGCCTGGTTGGGTCTCAGAGGTAACATGGCAGCCACCACCTCAGCCAGCAGCCAGTTCCAGCTGGCTTCTGGCCAAGGCCACAGCTGAGAATCATAATTCTGAATGCAAAAAAAAAAAAAGAAAGAAAGAAAAAAGAAACAGCAAATGCCCTCAAAAAGACCTTCCTGACCACCGCTACTATAAATCCAGCCCCCTAGTTAAGCTGTCATAGCATGCTCTCCTTTATACCACTTGTCACAGCATGTCACTAAACATTTATTTCTGTTATTACTTAACATGTATTTCATCCTTGGGCAGCACCTGTGGCTCAAGGAGTAGGGCATCGGCCCCATATGCTGGAGGTGGTGGGTTCAAACCCAGCCAAAAACTGCAAAAAAAAAAAACATATATCTTGTCCACTAGACCAGTGTTTTCAACCTTTTTTATCTCATGGCACACTTGAACCTATAGTTAAACTTCTGTGGCACACTTAAATTATATTGATCTCAAAAAAGAGTTAAAAAAAAAAGAATATAACTACTGTGCTTTGAACTTCTTCTGAAATTTATTTATTTATTTATTTTGAGACAGTGTCTCACTCGGTCGCCCCAGGTAGAGTGCCGTGGCATCATCGTAACTGACAGCAACCTCAAACTCCTGGGCTCAAACTATTCTCTTGCCTCAGTCTCCCAAGTAGCTGGGCTATAGGCACATGCCACAACACCCAGGTGTTTTTTCTATTTTTAATAGAAATGGGGTTTCACTCTTGCTCAAGCTGCTCTCAAACTCCTGATGAACCTGACTCTGCCTCCCAAAATGCTAGGATTACAGGCAAGCCACCATACCTAGTCCTTGAAAATAATTTAATTAATGATCTTTAAAAATTGTTCCCAGCATATCTAAGATCCTCTCACAGCACACTGATTGAAAATCACTGCACTATCAGCTCCATGACCCGTATCTGGGCACAGTAGGTGCTTCATACATGTTTGTTGAGTGAATGAATAAGAGACCAAAATCACACCCCTGGGAAAACACAAAGGCTCAAAAATGGAAGCATTGATTGAGTTACAAAACCTTCTCCAAGCCGGAGTTTAGCGGGAATAACCCAACCCAAACTCCTCTTACTCTCTGAGTCAGAAAATCAGGGCTAAGCACCTGGAGCTGCTACCTAAACCCCAAGAGGAAGGCAAATGATCATCTCACCGCAGCAGAATGGCCTAATCTGGCCAGTAGTGGTAGAGATTGCTCTCAGGACCCCAGCATTCATTTTTTCCTCCCTCCACAGTAATAGAATCATTGATGTTTAGGTAGGCACATGGTGTCCTAGAGGAGAGAAAACTACATTTTCCAGTTTCTCCTGACACTGGGATGGCCATGTGACTACATTTGGGTCAAGAAAATGTAAGAAGTGTCTGTGACTTTCAGAATGTGTCCTTAAAGGGAAGAGGCACTCTTTTTTTCTTTCTATAGTCAGGAATTAGAATGTGATGGCTGGAACTGAGCAGCTATAATGCATCATGAGGTCTGTGTCACTTGTGGAGGAGGACAGACACAGTGCCACTGAACCCAGCTTATGACAGCTTATGAGAGTTGACTGTGCACATCTCTTCCCATCCTCACATTTAATGATGACCCATTGGTAGTTTGAGATCAACTGCAGTGGTGGTATTTACAACACAGAAATTGGAAAACACTACAAATCAGGAATTTTTTTAATAGAATGGGTTTATGAACACACCACTCAAAAAATTAGTGCCTGAAGATTCTGTGAAGCCACCTAGTTTGGTCTACCCTAAATACCGCTGGATTTCTTTACATGAAAGAAGAAACAAACGTCTATCTCACTCATACCACTATTGTTTTAGTTCTTCTGTTTCTTGCAGCCCAGTCTAATCCTAATGGATACATCTAACCCTGAGATTTAAGCCATAAGTTCAAAGATTTAAATGCCATTGAAAAAACAAAGTTGGGGCTCAGCGCCTATAGCTCAACCGGCTAAGGCGCCAGCCACGTACACCTAAGGTGGCGGGTTTGAATCCCCAGCCCGGACCCGCCAAACAACAATGACGGCTGCAACCAAATATAGCCGGGCGTTGTGGCGGGCGCCTGTGGTCCCAGCTACTTGGGAGGCGGAGGCAGCAGACTCGCTTGAGCCCAGGAGTTGGCGGTTGCTGTGAGCTGTAATGCCACGGCACTCTGCCCAGGGGGATAGCTTGAGGCTCTGTCTCAAAAAAAAAAAAAAGAAAAAGAAAAAACAAAGTTGGATGTTCTTGATCTGGGAGGAAAAAAATAGTGACAGGAAGTCAGGAGAGAGCCTGTGGCCACACTGAGATATGAATGGATTGGGCTACAGTGAAAGTGTAAGCCAACAAGCAAAATAACATCCCAAATTCCAGACAGGGGAAAGGGAAAACTTCCAGAAACAAGAAAGCACTGTCAAAAGTAAGAGACATTAGCTAAGAAAACTGAGAATTCCACACCTGTTCTGGTGTGGAACAGGTGTGAAATTAAGTGAATATGTAGTTTATATCCAGGCAGAATGCCAAAACAAGAAACTAGAACGTTCTTCTCTATCCAAGTATACTACAAACTCCCAAGTTACAAACATCTGACTTCCATACAACTTGAATTTATGAACAGAGGCTATTAGAGGTAATAGGTAAATTTAACTGTTTCAACATATGTACAAACTCAACTTCAGGACAAAGCTACAGAACGTATCGCATTCGTAACCCAGGGACTGCCTGAACTTGTCAAAAGTTACCATTTTAGGAGTGTTTGAGTGATGTTTTGACAATGTCTATCTGCTCCAAATCAAAGAGCTATGTCTGCCCTTTGCTGTCCATTTTATCTCCTGTACCCGCAGCCGTGCTTGGCCGTAATGAACACTCCATACACATTAGTTAAATGAATGAATGAATGCTGAATCCTTTCTAAGGCCCAGAAGTTCTGAGACAGGCTATAATATAGTAACTCACCTCTTTTCTGTCCCTGTAGGGTGAGCCATGACCTTGAAGGTCATGGTAAGAAAGAAAAGGTAAATGAACAAGGAGTCAAATGCACAAAGAACTTTTTTTTCTTTTCTTTTTCTTTTCTTTCTTTCTTTTTTTTTTTTT